CGTTTGCATTACGAATCCCATTTTGTTGTGTCGATTGCATTGAATCTTGATTTTCAATTTGTTTGGTATCTTCAACGGGAATAATTTCTGCTTCTGCAGGACTGGATTTCGAGTCATCCTTTCTGATTTGTGTATTGTTAATTTCTTGCAGTTGAACCGCATCAACGACAACTGCGCTGGTATCTTGACTGGGAGGTAAACTTCTTTGAGCAGCTTTAACCAAACTATCTCTTGAGCCAGTTATAGACGCCCGCTTATCATCATTTTGCCCTGATTCAAAGTTTGATTCTTTCCTAATTTCGGTAGATGATACATTTGCACTTGAGTTTCCTTTCAGATTCTCAAGTTGTGCGTCGTTGTTGCTTTGGTTATCGCTCTGAACTTTATCTTTTTCGAAAATGAAATCTTCGTTACCATTACTTTTTGTGCTGCTGCCTTCTTTTTGCGTAAGGCTGGAATGCGAATTACGCTCAGCATTCGCGTTAACTAAGGACTGCGATGGTTGTTTCTTCACAGATTGTTCGATGAGTTTAGAATGTGAGCTCTTTCTCGAACTCTCCGAATTTGATCTATTTACATATGCATCGTTCTCCAGGTTATTATTCGATCCCTTTTTCAATATGGATTTCAAAGAGCCCTGTTTTGAAATGCGCGTCGCTGTGCTGTCCCTAACTTCGTTTTGCAAATTTTGGATACTAGCAGTACGACTTTCTCCTTTCCGAATTGAGTTTCTCTCGGTTGTCTTCAACTTCGTGGTAGAGTTTTTTTGACTTCCACCTTTACTGATAATTTGAGATTCCTTTTTCGAGTTCAAATTTCCATTCGAACTGTACGGTGATGTTTTTGATATCAGGGAGATCCAACTCCCCTCGCGATTTACTATAGAATTTGCCGATTTCCTAATCTCATTCTCCAGCGGATGAGTGTCATCTGAAGCAAATTGTACTGAATTCTGATTAGAAGTTTTCAATTCGATCCCAGAAACTTTTACACTGTTATTTCTAGATTTATCTTCTTTGTTCTGAGCTGTAAACGAATGCGTGCTAAATTTACTGGATGACTTGCTCATCATTTCCGGAGTTGGTAATTTTGCTGACTCCTCGGTGCTATTAGAATCTCCAGCGTTGTGCGCAACTGGCACAATATCGACTTTTACCAGTAAATTTAAATCAATTCCTTCCGTTTGCACTGGAACTTCAGTTGGCTTCACAAAAATTGAGTCAAGCTCATCCTCTTCGTCGATTCGCTCTTCGCTGCCAGATTTCAGGTGGGGGATGTTCTCTGACACAGAAGATGTTAATGCTTCACTTGCACTGTCTTCACATTCGGAACCAAAGTCACTAAAATCTGTTGCTATTGGATACGAACCGTTGCGATTTGGTCTTGCAGATTTTGGTCTCTCCAATCGTGTAAGACTTGGCTGAGGTTCAATTGCGGGTGGATCAGGGTATTTTTGAATTTGTTCATTTTCTACTTGCGGGGAGATTTTTTGAGATTCCAAATAATTGGATTTGAGCAACTCGTTTATAATCTGGAAACTAAAATTTTAGTGTGAAAAAATCTAAATGTGTTAATATTTACAGTTTCTACGCTTCCTCCCAATAAATGAATCTGCTCTATTAAATATCTCTCCGCATTTGTCAAAACTAAATCAGAGAATTTATTCAATTGTGTCTCGAACGGTTCTTTGAATATATCCGTCGTAGAAGAAGTACTGTCTATTAAATTCTTCATCGTTTGGTGAGCGGCTGCTTTATCTCCCTCCTCATACTCCATCTTCGCTTGTTGAAATAAATCGGTCAGGCTCCCACCCATATTTCTCGCCTTTGGAGTTTCCCCGTCACTCTCATAATCATCCTCTGAAATATCATCGTGTATTATAGCGACTCGTGGTTCCGCCGGGTGAGAATCATCGCTTGTTACAATTACAGGATTATTTTTGTACGTTTTCTTTCCGTATGTGTTTCTTTTCATTCGGAAATGGTTTTGTGAAGCTGACTTTAGATTTTCCGAATAGAGCAATGCCGTTTTGTGCATTGTAAATGGGTATCGGGAAAGGAAATCTGCCAACGGAGATGAATCCTAAAAAAAACATTAATTTTCCCTTTTGGAAATAAGACAGATATGTCCAAAAATACCGAATCTACTTGTTTAAGTTTTTGCGAGCGCAGATTTTGGTCTTGGTTTTGGCGTCGGATTGTTACCTTTACAGATTTGTTATATTTTATTAATTATTCCGTCTATTTAGATTATTAAACAATCATATACCTCAATTTCTCTGTCTAATTCTCGTTCGCCATTGTGTTTTACAATCTGGAACTCATACTGCTCTTTGTCCAGTCGAATCTGGTTATACTTGAACGATTTGGTGTCTATTATTTGACCTTCACTGTCAATCTAAATGATTAAGCTTATACACCACATCACGCTATTTTCTGTAATGTTCACAAACCAATCCCAACTTGATCAAGTGACAACGAGTGTTGGGAGCGTTAAAATAATCGTGCAGATATTCGTCTAGCAGCGGTTCATAAACGGGCATGTGCGTGGTGACCAAGTTTACATCATAAGTTCGTTCCCTTTCTCTTAATGATTGTTTTACCCATCTTTTTTTTTTTAAAAAAAAAAGATTTCAGTAAACGGAGTGGTAAATAATAAAATTTTCGCTAAAACAACCTTTCTCTGTCTACACTTAAATCAGCATCAACATTTTCTGCATTCGGATCGCTTCTTATTGTTTTCCGTACTCGCTTACCTTTTCCCTTACTGTTTTTTGCTGAATCCTTGTCTCCGTCACCGTTTACAGAATAATGTACACGTTTCTGCGGCTCTCTGTTTGCAACAGATGGTGATCGACTGGATTTGGACGGACTTCTGAGTGTATCGTTTCGTACTGTGAGTTGTTTCTTGGAAAACAGTTCATCAAATGCACTCTGTGGAGCTGAATTTGACATTTATGTGGTGATGTTCCTACTGCTTACGAGAAATATTTGTGCGCAGGAAACAAAATTACTGAAGCCAATCACTGTAATCGCTGATCTAAAGTTCCAGTGAGACGAGTATCACCACACAATTTAATCAAGAAGACAAATCAATATCATTTATTCTGATTTGCGAAATAAGAATATCTAATAAGAAATCGAAGTGAAGAATTTATTCAGTATTCTAAACAGATTGGAAAATGATAGACCAAGAATAAGATAAAACTATAACCAAAACAGCCAGCAACATAGGAGATGGGAAAGCTGACTTGGCGGAAATCATTTCGCTTTCCGTTTTCCCGGATTTGATATCGTGCAGTTGAATCCATTGCAAAATCTACAAGTCACGTTCAAATGAGTTTTGTGTTAAATTTCAATAAAGTGAAAGATGTATTTACCTTTCCAACCGCTACAGAGATTTTAGAAAAGCTATGATCATATTCGTTTGGTGGTCCGCTTCGGTATCTATTCTTTTTGGAAACTTCTAATGCAAAATCGTAATAAGTTTGCTTCAGAGTTTCAAAACCGTGTCGCGTGGATAATAACAATTTAACGGTATGACCTCGTCTAATTTTGTTCCCTGTTGTTTCGAATACCGCCGGATTATTAAAAAATAGATTAATCGTTGCAAATGCCATAAGCTAGATTAAACCAGAGAATGAGATAAACAGGGCGTATAGCAGCGAATCATTAACTTGAAATACCTGAGGAATTGCACAAAAGTGAAAGACTGAAGGATTTCGAAGACGAGACATATACTCTAAGCAGTCAGGAACCAAATCCAACGCATCAGCACACAAGTGATTCAGACATGCGATTCCGCGGTCTTTAAACTCTGGTTTAGCAAAATCAGCAAAGTCCCCAGTTGCTCCAGCCATGTCTAAAGTCGGCGGTCGTCCAACACCAATTTTTCCATCATAAACCTTTCCTGATTCCGGAATCGGAACGTATTGCTTCCACACAACGCTTGGCCAAAATCTTCTTCCTTCCAGTAAATCCTCCAGATAATCTTTGATGATGTTGACTTTTTGAAGGAAAAGACCCATTTGATTCGACAAATGACCGCTTTCATCCAACGTTTCTGATTCCAATCCAGTTGCAACAAACAATTTCGTCAATCCCAATCCAACCAAACCAGCAACGTAATGCGTGTAGAGATTATAATCATCCATTGTTTCAACTTTCTTTCCGGAAACGAAATCAGCCATACCATTACCCATACGTCGTGTACTGTCTGCAATCGCAATTTGGTACCTGTTCCAAATAAAATCAGAATGTTTGAAAATATTCCTCACAAAATTAGTCTTACGATTCTTTAAGCGACAAGAACTCTTCGATAACTACATCGAATTCAACCAGCAGCATTCTATCTTTTTCATCTGGACCATTTCCATCAAACGTCCAACCGCGCTGATAAATGATTTTGTGAAAATCTCTCAAAATCGGGAGTTTTTTATCCAACGGAATCGTGAGATCGTCTTCGACAGTGTCCAGCCCTCGCAATACCAAATAGAAAATGCAAACCGGGTGTCTTAATTCATCGTCCAACTCTGCAATAACTCTCGCAAACGACCGCGAAGTTTTATTGAGATAGTAATAACACATATCCCATGTGTGTTTCGGGTCGGGTTTCTTTCGAACTGTGAGCTTGGAGGTATGGCTAACGCTCGGATCCAGTTTCTTCCCCTCGGTGATTTTGTACTTTATCAGCGCATACAATTCAGATGGATGGCCGAGAGAAGCGCGGAAAGCTCGAGCGATTTCTCCCATGTTTCGTTTTTACTGAGATGTTTTGTGAAAGTGTTTTGATCCCGTTGAAGTGGGCTGATTTTTTTGGTCTCCACAATCAGTCAATTGTATCAATTGAGATCAAATTGATTGACTAATAAGCTTTGAACTTATTTCCAAACTATTTTCATATACTTTAACGCTTAGATCATTTATAAGATGTGAAATCATCAGTTGGGTTTACCGCTTAAGGATTTTGAACATTTACTGGTGAATGGAATGAAAATTTAAGGGGCTTTGGCGCAATTGGTAGCGCGTACGACTCCAGATCGTAAGGTTGGGAGTTCAATTCTCTCAGGCCTCACTATAAATTTTTTTCACAACCTTCTGTGTATTTTTTATTTTCATTTGGCTAATTTACGATTATTTCCAGTCTGAATTCGATCAAAAACTTGCCAGCATTTCAAAATTTTAACAGTAAGTAATTAATTGAGATAGCGACATAGCAATATTCACTCAATGGATAATTACAGTTACAAGACTATGTTGAATTGATAATGTGAGTAATCAAACTGCTTTCTAAAGCAACTAATCAGCGAATTCACGCAAGAAAATTTTCTGGGAAAGGTGTAACCTCCAGCGGCGATGGATTTCTCTTTAATGGGAATGATTTTATTTATTTCAGTGGCCGAATTTTGAGCGTATTTTGACAACCCAGGAAAGCCACGAGGCCACACAAGCCCCAATACGCCGCACTGAAAAAAATAATTTTTGTATAAAAAGGCTCGAATCCCTATTAGATTCTTCACTTCATCAAGTAGTTGGAGGGATGTTAGGGGAGGCCCTAGCATCCCGCAATTATTTTAGAACTCATTCTCAAGTTCGTGTGCAGACTTGTTTCTTTCGGTGTTTGTATCCGCGTTCCGAATGTGGAAAGTGATAGTCTCTCTAAAACAATACTTTTCGGTCTTACCCGGACCTATGAAAAGTGGATATTTACCTGGGAGCGACGACAGTTTTATTTGTTTTAAATTTTCACGCTTCAATTCTTTTGAAAGATTCTCTCAAAATAAAGTTTAGCAATGAATCTAAATACTCGTTCACTTCCTTTGGTCTTCGTTCAGTTCTTGAGTACATTGGGGAGTTTCGATCATTGATCCACGGCAACGTATGGAAACGGATAGAATCGTTGACTTGGTTTGTTGCCTCAATTTCAGCGAGAAGTTTGCTCATTTGCGATGAAGTAATGGGTGTATCGCTCCAGCTCGATATAATAAATTCATTTGCAAATTCCTTCGAGATTGTTAGACATCCGTATAAAACCACATCAACGTATGTCTGAATTAACGGATGAAATTCGTCTGCAAGCCTGCATCTATGCTGTACAAGGGAATTAACGTCTGCAATTAACCAAAAATATCATAGAACATCACATACCGATGGCAGCAAGTATGCCCAAACTAAATCATTTTCCGAAAGTGCGAATTTTGAATCTTCCCGGAGTGGAGTGATTAATCGATGTGGAATCCCAATTCTCAAGTAATTAAACTCTCTACGATCAAACGCATAAAGTTGTTTTTCCGTTACTGCAAACAAGACGCCGTTACAAACATGGTCTTCTGGGTGCAATTCACTTGAAACGGTTTCTGACTTTTGCTCAGCCGTTGTCTCTGTACGCCCATCAGATTCGAGATCGTCATCTGGATAATAAACTGTTCGTTTTACGCTGAAGGGGGTTGGGGTTGGTTGTAATTCAGGGCTGCATGCAACTGCTGAAAGGTAGGCGGCACCTCCACCTTGTAACGACCATGTTCGATGAATTCCAGAAACTCTAACGGGAAGGGCATCATTCGACTCTAAATCGGGACACGTTTTTAATCGTGATGTCGGAGAAATGAGACTGAAATCGAAATTGTTTTGAAATGTGAATTAATAAGCAAGCATGTGTTAGAGATGTGAATATAGACACCTTCCGTAACCAAATATTAAGTTTCTCTGACGATTCGTAATGCCCTGCATTTTCAAAGTCTCACTTTTCCCTGTTTGACGTCCCTAAAGTCTAGGCGCACAACCGGGTTTCTAATAAGCAAAATGTGAATAACAACTTAGAAACGAATATTATTGATTTAAAAAAGAAAATAAGAAAAGCAGTCATGATATCAAGGAAAAAAGAAACTAAAAAGGACAAAACAAGAATAAACGTAAACTCATAAAAGTTCAGTTAAATAAACTGCAAAACTGAGATTAAAAAAATAATATTCTCCTTCAAAAATTTAACCAAAACCAAATAAATCATCTTTTTTCCCCCCTGTATCATCCGCGACGATTCTTTACTTTTTTATGATGTTTATTAGTATAATGAGTTCTCATATTATCCAAACGAGAGAATAATTTATTGCAGTCGGGTTCCGTACATACGATGTTTGGTTTTAAGTGTTTTGACCTGATGTGTCGTTGAAGATCGTGGTTTCGATTGAAACAGCGCCGACAGTTTTCTTTACTACATACGAATCCGAAATTTTGGCGGGAATCTGGTACCGGATCTTGTGTCTCGGGAATTGCATTTTTGGGTGTTTTGCGGGGATTTTGGCGACTTGACGTTGAGGGAGTGTATGAAGATGATGAATCGGATGAACTGGAGCTCGAGGGAGAGACCGGGGAGGAAACAGTGTCCTCCGTGAATGATTGTCCATACAGGTCGGCAAAATTATCCAAAAGCTGGTGCGATGCCGCAACTTTGAGGTCCATTGGTAAATCGCTCCGAACAAGCGGCGGGGGTTGATGGGTGGAAAAATCGAGTTGATCAAGTAGATTTCTGTGGTTCGTAATTACTACGGGTTGCTGCTGCTGTATCACAGGTATAACGTTAAATAAAACTTGAGAGTTCTGTACGTTTATATTCGTTTGGTTTATATGTGGTGTTTCAAGGTTCAAAGATCTGTTGCTTTGAATACCGGGTAGCGAGGTGTATGAAAAGTTTGATTGGTTGCTGATTTGCGGAGTGGTGTAATAGATGAGGTTCGAGTTATCGCTGCTAATGCCGTATGTTATCGTGGTGTTTGGGTTAAAATGAGCGTTAACGTTTGGCACCAAAACAGGTGTCGTTGCAACAGGCGGATGGAGTTGCTGATAAGCGTATGGAGGATGCTGCAGAGTATAAATGGGGACTAATACTTCGTGTGAAACTACTGATGCTAGTTGAGGGATGTATTCAACGATGTGGTCTGGAGTGAGCGTTGGCCCCAACACGACCGGATTTTCAGAAAAATGGTTCGAGTTCGCCTGCAAAAAGTTCTCTTGTAAAATGAAAGAATTTCCATTCCACATTTCCCCGACGTATAGTCTGAATAGTCGTATCTGCGGTTGTTGCTTTCCTCTTCCGGATTCTTTCTGGCTACTGTTGGTGTTGCTGGAACGGAACTTTTGTGTTACGGAAAGAAAATGGCCATAGATTTAGAGCAGCTTGCGGAGCGTAGATTCTAAGTCGTGAGACACAATTTTTAGATTGAAACGAAGATTTTATTTAATAAAGAAGTGGTGAATTTATTGCTTCGATTGTCAAAACAAAAGGAAAAGTCCAATCTTTTATAGTGAATAAAATTTGCATTAAGTATGTTCCACCGTTCCAATGTGATCTGTCGCGCTTGTTTATAAAAGGGTTTTCATTTTCTATCATCGTCTAATTGCTGGAGAATTTGCTGAGATGGAGAGTCGTGGATGATAGAACTCGTGGGTTTGGTTGGTCGGGAAGAGGATAATATGTCGGAGATGGCGTTTTATCAAAAGGGTCGAGCGGGAGTCTATAATAAAAGAAATTAACCGTAAGTTAAACAAGAATCTATTGGGTGTTTGTTTCGAGGAGTTACTGCGGAGATCGTGTAAAGTTTGACAGGTCCGCAGGTGTCAGTAATTATTGCAACATTTTGCAGTACAGGATTTTATGGAGCTTGGCACAGATGGATTCAATTCCTTTTTTCGATAGCGTAGAGTATTCAGGTATATAGATTTAAAAGAATGCTGTTTACGAATTAAGCGTATGTATCAGCATGGCTTGGAATTAAGGCGTCAAAAGTTGGACAGTATCAAGTTGCAATTGATGATAAGATATCTCCACGTATACTACAACGATTGCAAATATTTTTTTTCATGTGAAATTTTAACTTTTTCTTGAAATCACGATTATGCATTTGAATCTGTAAGTGATGTTTCTCGCCAAATGTTTATTGTTCAAAAAAGTACTGTACAGTAATAATCGCATTGCAAAACAGACACAGAAAAAAATATGGAAAACTCAAGAATACTATAAAAAAAAACATAAAAAAATGATATCGAATGAAAATGAACAATGATTTCATGCAAAAATCAAAACCAACCCGCCCGCAGTTCATCATTTCGATTTTCTAAAACTCCTTCCCCCCGCACCGCTTCGTTTATTCTTATGCACAGATTCATAATGCGTCATCATATTATCCCGCCGTGAAAACATTTGCTTGCACTTTGGCGATTTACACTCAATCGACGGTTTCATATGTAACGAAACGAAATGTCGCTTTAGATCATGATTCCGTATAAACACTTTTCCGCACGTTGGTTCGCTGCAAATATACGATTCCTTTGGTGTAGTTTTCTTCCTGATTCGCCGTCGTGTGGTTGTTGTTGTGTTTCTGGACGATTCGGTATCAGAGTAATTTGAGTTGGAATCAGAATCGGATTCGGGAGAGCTGTGTTTTGTATCTTGCGAATTCGTATTATTGGATTCGGTTTTGTAATCACAGTGGTTCAGTGGAGTGGAAACCGGAGATATTGGTAACGTCAATGTTGGTACATGGTCTGAGGCAATCGTATCATTATCAGCGACGAATATAGGAGCTTCAGATAAAGAGTTCGTAGATCGTGACGATTGTGTTCGAGATTTGCGACGGTTGGGACGTCCTCGTTCCGGTTGGCAAAAGGAATTCGCGAAGAATTCTGAAATCTTTTCCGAATTTGGTGGAGCGACTACGCCGAAACAATTCCCAGTAATTATATCTTGGTTCGCTGGTAGAATCAGAGGCTCTAATACCTTATCGCTGCCGGAGACTGTTGAGAATGGATATTGATATGATTGATTGGAAAAAAAATCGTTGTCCAAAGGAAAGTCCACGTTTAGATAATCGCAATTTGATGAATCACAGGGTAGTGAAACATAAAGGTTCTGCTCTGATTCAACGGGCGACATGGGTGAGAAGTATGAGTAATATGATGGGTGCGAATACGAGTGAGTTGGCGAATCCAGAAACAATGACGGCGACACGTTGGGGTCGTAACTCTGTTGAAAGATCGGTTGGGAATCGAGTGTTATTTCTCGAGGTAAGCAAAGTTCGC